CCACTGATTATTTGGTCTTCAATGCTTTTCCTAGAGAAAGTCATTGAACTCCACTTCAAAGCCTTGTACATGCATTTGTGCAACCTGTCGGTTTTGCGTACATATCTTTTTATCTACCTATTTAGTGACTCAACACGATTATTCGTGTTGTTACCCAAAGTTAAAACACTGCCGTAAAAGGCACACGCCCATATTGTTTTACGTGGCATCCAGAAACGTGATAGGTACTGGCCTATCACTCTGTCTCTCCGGTTTATTATTCTGTAATATTGATAAATCTAGTGAATAAACACATTACTAAGATTACCTTCCAACCGTTTCTGCAGTTACCAATCGAGTCAAGTAGGTTTTTAGTATTTTATCATTTGTCTAAGGGAAATTTTATGTAAGCAACCATTGGTGTACCTTTTTCTGGAAAGCGCGAATTACATGAAAGGCGCACAAAATGATGTTTGCATGCCCGTGTGTTATACGGACAGTCGCTCTTTCAGATCGTGCGCAATCCATCACAAATGTTTCTGTTATTGTTGTGTTATCCATTATCTCTTTAAATTTATCTAAAACCCATATCACATCGGCACGCTTTTCTATTCGTGTCCATGCAAACATAACAGTTCGTCCTCGACCCCGATTGTCTGTCACAACTAACTGGAATAATGAATATCTACATAGTAGAACAAAACGAAAACCATATTCACTTTTTATTATTAGTTTTATACGTAGAATCAATACACACGACTTCGGGATATTGATTGTACAACCGTATCTGGTCATAACTGCTGAAGCATATTGCCGTAATACATCCATTTTCTACATGCTCTCTAACTTCACCGTTTTGTCGCATCATGTGCATTACCTGCTTCCGAGTACAACCTGAAATATATTTATATACACTTATAAGTGGAGAGTGTAGCTTTCATACCTTTGATATCGGCAGCGGTTACTTGCTTACCAGTTCTCTCCTTAATACTTTCGATAACTTCATCTGCTGACTCACAGTGCAGTATTACTGGCTTCAAGTTCTCTTTTTCTTCTGATGATAATCTCCTTGTCCATGGATCACATACCATCCATGAACTACTACATGGATGATTGTGGAGCATGTTGTAGGATTTGATGACATATCCTTGCTCCTCTACTCTTACACGGAATTTAGATTGGTAATTACGGAATTTGGACCTTAAACATCAGATATTAGTTAAAGATCTTACGGTTTTTGCTTCACTTTCAAACCTTCCGATTTCCGCTTATGACCAAACGTACAATTAAACGTTACAAACAGGTATTTCCACCTGACATCCTCTAGCAACCTGCTTTCCGTATGAATGTAACGAGTATAAGTAAACTGAGAAGCGATAAAATTACTATTCCATACTTTTTGGAACTCTTTTAAGGCGATATCAAAGTGATCACAGCACGCGAAACGCTTGTTCAGTATCATACTTCGAAAGGCTTCGCTAAGGTCGACTGAAATGTCACTTGAGCATGAAGCACTACAAAGAGAGATGATTAATTATAAAAACGTTATTCCTTGCAACAATAATAACCCAAAGAAATACTACAAATAATTAGGATTTACCTGTGACTTGACATTTCGTTTAGGTTTACTACAGTTGTTGGGATCACGGATCAAATTACAAAGTAACAACAGAGCCAAATTGTACACTACAAAACAGAGAATGTTAAATTAATGCTTTTGGTAGTTATTTCGGGCTTTTTTATACAGCATAAGACGACTTATATATGAAAAAACTTGATACTCATGCAATCCAACCAACCCACGGCAATTGAAATACAGAATGACCGCCTCTAGTCAAGCCGTTCAAGGTCGTTGAAACGAAAGGGCGGGCACGTTTCGAAAGGACCTAACGTTTTAACCAAGCCGATCTGTTGGAATCATAACTCCCATAAATAATCTTTCTTACCATCACCACCACTAACTTTATAACAAATAAATCACTCATTAAAACGATGACATTTGAAAGTAAATTCCACTGAATTATTCCATATGAAGAATCTTTTGACGGTTAAATCATTTGTAATGAACAATTTTCTTTAACTTAGATAGATAAGTTTACTTATTCAGTTAGATGTTACAGTGGTACATTACTATATTCAACAAATCATTCGAGGTTTGAAATAGGAATCATAATCCATGAAAGTATATGCTATAAAAGAAAGGTGTGATTTGATCTCTTTATCCGTTTATGGTATAATAGAAACATTCGACTGTAGAAACATACAGGATTTCTATTAAATAAAATACTGTCAATGATTAACTGATACAATTACAAATGTGATTGAACGACATTTGCTTCCGTCATAGAGATGAATGTAGAAACTGAATTATATTAGTGATTGTATCAAACTTGAATGGTTGGTGATCCTCGTGATTAGTTTTAGTTTCTTCCTTCAATAGATTCGAAAGTTTTCTAGTAATCTTTACATTAGAGAATTAAAAAAAAAGTACTTTGAGGTATCATTTCTAATTTATGATCTAAACAACATTATTGAAAACTCTGGTTACCTATCGTAATATATTGACTCTACCTAACATATTGACTGAACTAAAATAGGATGTAATTCACTTTTAGTCTTGTTACTTTCTAACTAGTGAACTTCATGGTAATATAACATCAAGTGAAATAATGTCGGCTAGTTGAAACTGTACAATGGAAAATGATAATTAATGTAGCAAGTTAACATTGACAGTTTGAGGATATTTTTCTTTCCAATTTGAGTATAAACTAGTCAAACTATCGACACCATCTTCAGTTTTACTGATATTACAATCAATTAGTGTTGTCATCTTGTGCACAAACCTAATAATTATTTCCATTAAGTGTACATTGTATTTATTTTATTTTAACACATAGATATTGGTACAAGGAGGCACCAAATACATATACACCACACAGATCTCATTTGATATAGGTAAGGGCTGTGATACTGTCGGCTGCCCAAACCGAAGTCCTAGCTAAGGAAGCTTGCTGTCCTATTCGGACGTTAAAAGCTCCGACGTGTAGTTTAGATCGTGGTTCCAGGAGACCAGGAATAGCGTTCCACGTACTCGAATCGTTTGCCCTAGCGCTGCGAGGTGATAAAGAGATGTGAGGAGTGTTAGTCATGGACATAAGAGAGTTATTAGCAGGTGTAGGAAGAATTTGAATGTGACCAACTTGGTCTCGTGTGCTGTTACGGGTATGAGGGCTGGTGTCACTTCCCGGCTGCCCACACCGTGGAAGGGTATTTCTTGAGGAACCTGAAAAGGAATTCGGATTAATGTCGGCCTTAATGACTGAGCAAACACGAAAATCACTCACAGAAAGGTAGTATGTCACCGACCTCAAGCAGTTGTCCCTTGGGCACTGCGGTCACCCTCCCAGGTCACTTAGACCACCTCTAATCCAATTCCCTTTTCAGATACCTCCCGAACAACCGTTCCATGGTGTGGGCAACAGGGAAGTGATAACCGCCCTCATACCTTTAACAGCACTCAAGACCACTGTATTCATAATCAACCTCCGTCTTCACTTTCAACCTCATTAACACAAGATGGACACCGGATTCATAAAAGTAGTTAATTCAGTTGTGGTAATATATAAAACTAAGGTTGAAATAAGGATATAGTATAGGAAGGAAGAATTAGTTCGTAGAAAGAAAGATATGAAGTGATTTTAATCTCTTAGTTTAAGGGAAGACAAAGAGTGTATACACCGACGCCATTGTGATCGATTCTGAGCCATGTCACCAAGAGTCTCCAACCATTGGTTACGAAAGTCACGCGGACCCCAACCAAGTAGTCTGCATGTACCAACATGGCTAAGACTAGAAGTTAGTGACTTCAGGCACTGATGCCACGTTTTGGTTTGGCCGCCCCTAACTTTCTTCCAACCATCCCCTACACCGGTTAGCATTGCACGTCGTGGTAATCGGTGTTCAGTCATACGTAACACGTGGCCCAACCATCATAGTTGATGAAGATTCACAACGTCATCAACTAATCTACCATTATTCCCTAATACCCTGCGTCTAACCTCACTATTACTTGCCCGGTGATCCCGGCAGATGGTGGTAATATTTCGAAGGCATCTGTGATCAAATACTATCAACTTACGAGTATCTTCGACTCTTAAAAAGAAATCGTTATCATCAAAGTTTTTGAACGAACGTCACATACAAACAAATAAACATATTCTGGTATGTTTTTCCCTCAATTCCATTAAACAACTTTTCTCTTGTTTTTAACCTGATTCAAGAGAAAAAAATCATAATTTACGACGGATATTCTTTCAGCTATCTAAAAAGATTATGACAGATTAATTTATATATTTAGATTAGTTCAAATTTGGGAAAGGATAACTGGTCTTTATCAAAGCCGGTATCACAGTCAGTCAGTTACAACGTAGGACTAGGCACATATATGAATCGGTCCAATTTGCCATTACCTTATTAGCACAACAAGATGAACACCAAATCCATACAACATATATGTTACTAGTCAATGTTGCCTTATTACGTAATCAATGTTATACGTAAATATGCATATGTAGATTGGGTGACATAAACACATACCTACACACACACACACATACAAGAGAATACAGATCATAATTGAATAAAGAAAAAACGAAATTATGACATATTTTTATACATTTTATAAGTGAACATTTTGTTGGCTGATATTAGAAATCCTTGTGAAAAAGTAGTTTTTGGTGGAGTTTTGTTCTCTGAGCTGGATGGTTTGAAGTTTGTACTGATGATGTCGTTCAGAAGAACGATGAAAGCTCCACAACTAAACTAACCAGCTCAGAGAACAAAACTCCACCAAAATCATCCACCTGAGCTATAAATCTTTTCCACTATCTCAAAAGAAGAAGTACACAATCACATAATACACAATCATACAAACGAATAGATTCACAAATAAACAAACAGAGAGTAAAGTAACACAAATCAACAACAATGTGTTAATGATTTTTTCTTCTTTTTTTATTGTTATCAAGGAAATATTGTACATTGAACAAATTATTCATTGGTTCTTTATACAAATTAGAACAAAATCCAAACATTATCATAAGATCAAACAAACAAAAAAAAGGTGTACATTTTTGATTTATCAAATGAGAGAGAGAAAAAAGTGAATTACAATTAGATAGTATTATATAAACAATGATATATACTACTTATAAAATTATTAAAAACAAAATCTTATTTTATGATGGTTACAATTGTTCTCAATCAAAATATATACCATACATGTATCGAGTAGAGTATGCAAGTATACAAGACCTACACACATAGATAGATACACACTATTTTACATATACACAATGAGTATAAACTTTAATACTACACTGTACAAATGTATTAAATGATATAAAATAAAATGAAAAAGTAAAGTAGCACATAAAATTCAATAACAAATACATGTAACTAAAATTGAAACTTGAACTGGTTTATCCTTTGTGTGTGTATCAGTGTATATGTATGTGTATGTATGCATTGTGTATGTGTTGGCATGAATATTCTAATCACAGTGTTCATACATACATGCATTGATATATTGGCACCAAGTGATTACATATATATGTGGGGGGGAATGAGTGTGACGGAGACAGCCATGAAAAAATAGAGACATATAGATACAGAGTATATTTCTCTGGATTTCTTTTTTCAATCTAAATTTTTAAAAAAAATGATGAACAGTAGGCACTCACTTTGTAATTTTACATCAAGTGAAATGAAAATGAATACTGTAACCAACTGGATTAGTCTGTGGATTTACAAAATAAAAACAAACAAAAAAAGGAAGATAAAAAAAAATGATAAACAGAATTAATAATCATGGAAATAAACTATTATTACTTTCATTTCATTAATTATGAATTAAAGATTCATCAAAAATTCAGTCCTGAGTATCCAGACATGATGTGAATGAGAATCAGTGAGTATCTGGACTTAGTAACTCATTGAATAATCATTTATACATTCTGAAAATAATAATTACAGAATTCACGTCAGTTTACAGGGGCATGATCAATGTGATATAAATAGTAACATTAGATGTACAGAACAAACATGTGATAGAAGTAAGTTTTAAGTATACTAGTTCAGTAATTGTTGAGGTAGTAGTACATGTATTATACAGCGATCCAATGTATCAGACGGGAATTTTTAATATTTCTCAAATGGACACAACCTGTTGATTTATGAACGGTGTTATATTAAGGTCATTTTCTGTGCCAGATCGAATTAATGATAATTATCTACAACTAGAGAAAGTAAGATGGAAACAGGGAACACGGAACAATAAAGCAGTAATTACCCAAATATATCAATCAGGTCTACCTAAATGCGTGTATCATGTGACATAGTGATATACTGTTGATGTTATTCACATTAGTTAAAGTTGCTAGGGACAGTGTTAACATAAAATGACAGCAAGTAGGTGGTTTTATTTAGAGAATGCACTAATAAAAATGGCTAAACATTTAAAGTGCCTATAATATCACTTGTGGAGTGAGATACAGTCAACATGCTTATAGTCTCTATATTGACAGGTTTTTTGAATGGGTGGGTTATAAGAGAGATAGATAGGGAGAGCGCAAACTACTATCTTATGGTCACTGCTTTTAAATTCATCGTATACTTTTACAGATAGTGGGATAACATCTTTACTAAATATTAGATCGAGTATACTATCGCCTCTAGTTGGGGTACGAACCCACTGTGACCAGCAGTGAATATTAATGGTTGTCGAGAGCTCATCTTTACATGACTGACAACTACCGGTACTCCAGTTAATCCCAGGATAATTGAAATCCCCAGTGATAACCTTAGTATTAAAGTTTAGAGAAGATGCATGTATGAATGCATTGATAATAAGATCATTCCCATTATTCGAACTATCAGGAGCTCTGTATATACATCCAAGGAGAAGACTATGATTCACGGTGTTGACTGATATCCAGACTGATTCTGGTAAACTATTCAGGACAATATCTTCAATTTTATTAGTTGTTAGGGTATCCAAAGCATATACAATACAACCACCTCCTCACTTAGTTTCTCTGTCACAGCGATACAGTCGATAGTTCTGGATATTTAATTCTGAATCATATACTGTTTGAGAGCACGATGTTTCAGTGATAAGTATGAAAGAAGGCTTGGCTAGAAAAGATAATGTTCTCAAGGCTGAAATTTTGTTCAGAAGTGAACGTGCATTGATAAGTAATAAGTTTAAAAAGGGAGTTAAAAAACCGAGAGCTTCCCTATTGATGTTGTGCATTTTGGATTTGCATAGACTGTGGTTTATTATGTTTGATTGATCCGATGGGTTTTCGCTTGAACAAACTGTAGTGCTAGTGAGACAAGGGATTTCCGAAGGCCAAAAAATCATTATTTTGATAAAGTGGATTAATTTGTTGAACTTGACTAGACGGACAGTTAAGACAAGCACCTGCTAGTTGGGGTTGGGTTGATAGTGAGTAACCTAGTAGTCCAATCTTGCCCAATGGGAAAGTGTTGAGAAAAGTTACGTCTTACAGGTTTATTATTTAAAACGTTTGAGGGTAACCGTTGGGCACATTGGTTCACTGTGGTTTGTCCAATATTAGGCCTGCTTACATAACGGTAAGTCATGATTGAAAGTGAAAAGCACTGGGCTGGAGTTCTAATGTGAACATTTATACCGAGTTCCACGTAGATTGCAACTGACGAGTCCCAAATAAAATGAAAAGTACGTTTTGTATCCTACCTACTGCTAACCTTAATTCATCCATTCTACTTATAGTGGATGTATAGAAATAATTATTTGAAGTATAATTCACAAACTATGTAAGGTATATATAGTTTGAATGCAGTTTACACAATCTCATATTAGTGTATTATAGATTAGAATAATGCTATTTCTAAATTATGCCTTAAAGTTGGGTAAATACATCTTGTGATGATGGGGAAGATTTGTAGCTCAGGTGGATCGTTTCGATGGAGTTTTGTACTCTGAGCTACATGGTCATTCAGAACAACGATGAAAGCTCTACAACCAAACCATCCAACTCGGAGAACAAAGCTCCATCAAACAAAGAAAAAATCTTGTATTTAAGAGAATGAGTTGAATTAATTTTATAGTATTGGATTTGTAGAAACAGTTCAATTTGTAATTCATTTTTTATAGATATGACATAGATATTGCGAGGTGATTACAGTTAGGAATTATGTAAAATCATTGAATTTCAACTTAATCATCTTAAGATACTTTATGCAGAACGAAATACGAAAATCTGAAATAGGCTCTGGGTTCGAATCCCGCGAGGCGAGGTCGTGGATGCGCACTGCTGAGGAGTCCCACGATAGGACGAAACGGCCGTCAAGTGCTTCCAGGTTTTCCATGGTAGTCTAGCTTCAATTGACTCATGATCTCAACTGTTGAAATTACTACAATCTCCACAAAACTCCTGATACAAATAGAGTATCAGTCAGTCAGTCAGTAACAACGTAGAACTTCGTACGTACGTACATCAGTTCGAGTTGCCACACCACATTAGCACAGAGATGCACTTGTCGATTCAAATCCCGTAGTGATAGAGGTAATAAGAGTATAAGCAGTAATCGGGAAGATTAGGGTTTGGAGATGTTATTTAAAGAGTATAATCCAGTGAAATAAATTTGGAAAGAGGAAAAAAGGGACATGAAGAATTCAGAAGATTAGAATTTGGGAGAACACAGAGAGTGGATGCACCTGCGCCATTGCAAACGATTTTGAGCCATGTCATTCAGGGTCTCTAACCATCGGTTGCTGTCATCTCGCGGTCCCCAACCAGGTAGTCTACACCTACCAACATGACTCAGTCCACTTGTCAGTGACTTCATGGATTTGTGCCATGTTTTGGTTTGGCCGCCCCTAGCTTTCTTCCAACCTACTCCTATACCACTGAACATAGCATCTAAATGATGAACATCAATCAAGTGTTTAACCAAGCAGTGAAGATCTTTTAACATAGGAAATCCACCGATATCAGAATCAGTATAGATGATTATTAAACGGTAGTTAGGTTGGTAGTCCTTTAGATTATGAGTATTACTGCTGTCACACCTCTCTACAGTCAGCAGTACGACTTCGCCCTCAGACCTTGAGTTGCTGCTTTTAGTCTTACCGTTCGCCAATCGACCTGCCTGGCATGGTAGAACCTGCAGGAACATATGTTCCAGCCAATATAGCTCGGTTGGGTCATCACGATAGGCAAGCCCGACCACCGCGTCAAGGTAGCAGCTTCGATCGGGACAAATAGAGTATGATTGAAGATTATTACTGTGTTATAAGCTAGAACTGGTTAACATCATTTTGTAATGAAGAAATAAAACTACCATTTCGACTATTCAATGATAAATAAGAGACATAATACTCAATGTTTTATTGCATTAAATAAGTTAAAGTTGAATATACATATAGACACTGTCGAAATGTTAATAGGAAGGATTAAGTCTACGTAGTGTACGGTTTGACGTTGGATGGTAGTAGGAAATTACGTATACGGTGACGTGGTGCAAACACTTCTCTTATGAAATACAGTGAGCTAATCAGAAATCTTCAAATGATAACTACATGTGATTGGCGGTAATTCATGAAAAGTCGCTCACGTAAAGCCTATATGTGATCGGTCTCACGATGTTGTTTTGTGGACTCAGCAATTGTACTCCTGGATTGTCGAGATCACTCATAACCCAGTTTCCTTTACAGGTCCCTAGACAAGAATAATCTTCCCATGATATGGGAGACAACGAAGCAAAACCACCTACACAACTGTAACACCATTTGAGCTAATCTAGCCTACAATGACTGGGAGATACGATCCTGAATTATCAAATTTATTGAGTAATAAACGTAAAGTCTGAGACAAGTGTGCATCAATTCAGGTATTTATGCTACATGAGCACGATGATGAGAAAATAACAAGATGAATAGTGAAGAAGTGGAGTTAATGTAGTAGCAGTGATAGAGAGAAGTACCAAAAATTGAGAACATAGTTTTAGAAAACGAAATGAAAAGGTATATATGAAGAAATGATGTAAATGAAGATAAAAAGTGAATGTTGTAGTTGATTTCAAGTTATTATCACCCGTCTCTAACCATTGGTCACGATTGTTACCAGTAAGCGTGGTTATCTTTTGGACTTTAACCGAGTAGTCCACATCTACAAACATAGGTCTGATCAACAATCAATGACCTTATAGATTGATCCCATGTTTTAGTCTGAGCCTCTAACTGTCTTTCCACCTAATCCTAACACCAGCTAGCTAATAACGCGCATCGAGGTGGATAAGAGTTGGATATATATAACACATTTTTCAACCATCTCAATTGTAGAGCTTAAAGAAAGATGTCCGGTAATACTGTTAAGAATAGGAAATTGATGAGAGAATCGTTATACAATAAATACAATTTACACACACAGTTCAATATGGAACTTACTAGATCAAATAGAAGGTAAAGCGGACATTATCATCATCATCACCATCATGTATCATGAATTGATTCTTTATAAAAATTTGTTGTAAAAAACTTTTGTTTCATTATTTTCCTACCTGTAGGACTAATTATAGGTGATATGGACGAATTGCAATGTTTAATAAATGTATCTTCTTCATTCTCTCCCAATGGATTTAATTGACCAGTTTCATTAGAAGTGATTAACAATGAGCTAGTAGGATTATAGTTTTGTGATGGATGAAATTCAGATGAAGAAGTAGTAATAGCACTTTTATTATCATTATTATTATTAATAAAAGGAGTAGTAGTTGCTGTATTAGGAGCAATAAACATACGTCGGAAATGATGTGCACGATAATTACTGAGATCAGCTGCTTCCTCGGATTCACCAGGATTTAATAATAAAGGATTAGAAAATAGTAAATCATTCTTTGATATATCGTCTAAATATTTTGGACTACTATTATCTGATGATGAGATAACAGTAAAGGGCAGTCTGGAATAATGAAGACGTGCTTCATGATCAAGAAATCCACCACCACCACCACCACTACCGCTAACACCACAACTACCAATATTTCCATCATAAGTTTTTCGAATAAATAATCGACGAAATGGTTCTACAATACCTGCCGTACTAAAACGAGTTTTTGATTGACGATAAACACGATTCGGTCGTTGTTTTATATAAACTGGATTACGAAAATCTGTAAGACCAGTCATTAAACGATTCCAAATACCACTGTTATCGATTGAATTACTGTGTGAAATGCCACTTTTTAGATTATACTTAGACATTTCAACAGTACTCATTATCAATTTCGACTTGTCACTGTCACCAGTGTTAGGTGCACCCATTCCACATGTGAATTGATCAAAATCCGCTGTAGTTTTATGAGATTGACCTGATGGTGAACTACGCCTTAGTCGAGTTTCACCGCCATAAATATTGGCACCATGTGTTGATTCATATGTATCAGTGATAATTTTTGAATGACTCAATTCAGGTGATGTCTGCTTTTCCGGTATAAAAATAGCTACTAGAATTGCTAACAGAACTAGAATAGCACCAAAAGCAAATGGTGGTCCTGGTATTAAACGCTTGAAGAAAGAAAAGTGTTGAAATGAAGAGAAAAAAAAGAATTAACATCTGTGTAAATAAAAGCCCTAATGAATAACACAGTAATGATAAACTTATTGTTATTGATGTTTGAGACATGATTAAATGACTGAAGTTTGTACTGATTCATTTTTATTAATGTATGGTATATTACATAATGATTATCTTACAAATCAAACATTCCAGCTTTTATATTCATTTAAACCTTTACTGGATAAATGTACATAAAAACAATATACAGAGATTGTATTAATTAGATCAGAGATTATGACAACTACAAGGTATATCAATCTACAAAAGTAGTGTTCTCAAATGAACACTTCTCACGGCTTGAACTAGAAGATTTAATTTACGAACATTGATGATTATTTAATTAGCCTTGGTTTGAGACACTAACATAGGATATACAAAGTACATGTGATGAGTAGAACGTTTTTCGCATAGATACGTTAAAAATACTATAATACTTGAGGGTATTTTTTTTATTTGAACACATAAATATTGGTACAAAAAGGAACCAAATAGATATGCGCCACACAGATTTCATTCGATATGTGTGAGGGCTGTGATACTGCCCAGGTGCGGAAACCGAAGCAGGTGGATTTCTTAAGGGGCCACATCCGGAGCCTCCGACCTGAAGATCTGATTCACAAGGCAATGGAACAACTTTGGGAGATGCAGTTCCATAGTAGACGGTGACCAACGATTGGTTCATACACCATTTGTTCCCGCACGATACTGGAGCTCATGTGCACCATTGGTTTGAAATTATGGTTTTCCAACTCCCCTAGGTGGACTCTCCATATCCACCAACCCAGTTAAAGCCGGTGCCGGACATTCACTATTCATCCTCTGAATTTCGTAAACAACACTCGTTGTGCGAGAAGGCAATGAGTAGGACTTTCCTGGCAGTGACTGTATACGCATGGCCACGTGACAGCATTTCAAGAGGGAGAGCGGACTCTCACTACCCTCGGGAGCAAACCAACCTTGATCGCACTAGCAATTACGATTTGATAGTTTAATCATGAACCCATGATACAAAATATTCACTGTTGTTGTTTCTTTTTAAAAAAGATATTCACAAATTGATGTTGATTCATCAGAAGAATTAACATTTAAACTTTAATAAATGAATCATTACAAGATCATTCGATCATATGAAAGATCTTTATAAAAGATAACTAGTTGGGAAGTTACTTAAGAGGACGTCAGTTTATGTTATTGCATTGTAAAATAAAAAGAACAATGTACAGGAATAGGAACTATTGATCCGTCACAACCCCTTGGTTATAATCTCTTAGTCTTGATCGATAAGAATGCATGAGCAAATGACATTGTAGTTTATCAGTATAGGGTTGTGGAGATTATTAAGTTATTGATTGAGATCATGAAACGATTGATGTTAGACCACCATTGAAAACGTGGAAGCACTGGACGACCATTTCGTCCTATTGTGGGACTCCTCAGCAGTGCGCATCCACAATCCCGCTCGCGGGATTAGACTAACTTCGTGAGAGATTTCTCGGAGTTCTAATGAGAAGACGTGACCAGTCGAGCTAATCAGTGTCGGGTAGGTACAGGTATCTACTTCAGTACAATGGAAAATGGTCGAGCAATTTCGTGGATTGGTTGAGGTTACAAATTAATACCGTTGGATGCCGTCCAGCTCAGTGGTCTAGGTTAAGCGTTCGCACGAGAGACCGAAGGCCCTGGGTTCGAATCCCGCGAGCAGGATCGTGGATGCGCACTGCTGAGGAGTCCCGCGATAGGATGAAATGGTCGTCAAGAGCTTCTAGGTTTTCAATGGCGGTCTAACATCAGTCGGTTCAAGATCTCAATCAATTTTAGTTTATCACTTAAATCTTAGTTTCGTCTCAGATTAGTTATTATTTTGTTTAAGTACCAACTAAGAAAATTGTACGCTTATTATAAATGTAACTAACACTTTCATTGATTTATTTTATCTTATTTCTACTCAATGATTCGTATGGGTAGGTTTAAATTTCCTTTAACTTTCTAACTGATTAGATAAGCTTACGTTTTTGCACTGATTATATAGAAGTAGTAAATTTATATGGATGATCCTGACCAATCAACCAGAATAAAGACAGTGGTTATTGGTTATTTAAAATACAATGATGAATAGCTCATCTAAAGCTAATATTTTACTTTTTAGACAATAAATACAAACATCATGAAGCTAAATGGAATTGAGACAACTTTGAACACTTCTTAGAATAATAATGTAAAATTTATTGATTTTTTTTTTCAGGTGAAAATACTAGAAATTGGAATTCTCGTGTGTTGTAAGGTAGATTGAAAGTTCTTGAGGTGGTGCCCAACTTTATGGAAGTACTAAACACACTTATATCCATTTATTTGTATACTGTAAGAAATAACTCTCATGAAAAGTTTCATTATTCATGTCTAAACTTTTTATTACTCATAATTTAATCGCATTTTTATTAGGAAATGCTTCATTACCATGACACATTTTTATTAGCTAGTTGTCAGTCGAAGACAACGATGTCATTGAAAACTGGACTGAACCATGTTGATAGATGTAGACCACCTAGTTGGAGTCTGCATGATTATCGTAATCAATGGTTAGAGGCTTTGAATGGTATGGCTCGAATTGGTCTGGAATCGTGCAGGTGAATCCATTCATTGTCTTCCTTTGAATTCTGAGCTTTAAAATTCTTAATTTTCTTTCAATAATTTATATTTTGTTTTAGAGCCATATCTTCGATGCCTAATTTTTCTTATTACCATTGATACTATTACTACCTCTACTATTCTAAGATTTAAACAGCGATAATGGGGTACGAGGATTTGAACCGATCTATATACATATCATGCTCAATGATGTGATCGACTGACTGAGACTCGTACCGGATCCAACACAAAATGATTTATTTATATTGACACTATAACCACTATTGATATGGAGTAATAATAATACCAACTCCGCCTATAGCTCTCCCAGAGTTATTGCCGGCCCCAAGCCCGGGTAAAGAAGGAGGGTTGGGCATGGCGTTAGCGTCCCCATCCTTTAGAAAGCTAACTCGCTAAAAAAACGCTTACCAGAAAAAATAATTCAAACCATTTAAACTCTGCTCTGAAAGTTAGAAGGTATTCATTTAGAAGAATTATGACGCTTCATGGTGAAAGCCGAGTTCCTTCGGAAGTCACGAGGCCGATGCCCCATTCTAACAACCAGAGCAAACATTTTTATAGGTACAGGGAACGTCCGAACAATGTGGGAGACCCGAAAGACCAGTCAAATAGCAACGGAAATGAGGAGATACAACTTGGCAGTACTGGGAATCAGCGAAACCCACTGGACCCAAGCTGGATGCTACTATACTCCGGTCATGAAGAGGAAAATGCTCCGCACATTCAGGGAGTTGCTCTAATGCTGTCCAAAGTAGCACGAAATGCACTTATAGGATGGGAATCTCACGGATCCAGAATCATCAAAGCATCATTCAAAACAAAGAAGGAGGGGATCACAATGAATATTATTCAATGTTATGCACCCACCAATGATAGCAACGACGACATTAAAGATCAGTTCTACGAGCGGCTGCAGTCAATCATAGAGAAGTGCCCAAGAAACGACCTCACCATTCTAATGAGTGATCTAAATGCCAAAGTCGGAATAGACAACACCGGATTTGAAGATATCATGGGACGACATGGACTGGGAGAGAGAAACGAAAATGGAGAAAGATTTGCAAGTCTGTGTGCATTCAACTAATTGTTCATAGGCAACACAATATTTCCACATAAACGTATAAACAAGGCTACATGGATCTCTCCGGATCACACTACAAAGAACCAGATAGATCATATTTGCATCAACAAAACATTCCGAAGGACAATGGAAGATGCGAGAACCAGGAGAGGAGCTGATATAGCTTCAGATCACCACCTAGTTGTAGCCAATTTAAGACTGAAGTTAAAAAAGAACTGGACAACTGGACAAACAGCATTACAAAGGTTCAATACAGGCTTCCTTCGAGGTACTGACAGACTCAATGAATTCAAGATAGCTCTCAACAACAGGTTCCAAGCCTACTATGGAGGACAACTTGAAAAGTATTAAAGAAGCATTAACTTCAACGTATCAAGAGATTCTGGGTCTAAAGAAGCACCATCATAAGGAATGGATCTCTATAGAAACACTGGACAAGATCAAAGAAAGGAAGAACAAGAAGACAGCAATTAACAACAGCCGAACATGAACATAGAAAGTCCAAACACAAGCTGAACACAAGCAAACAAGCAAGTAAAGAGGAGCATTAGAGCCCACAAGAAGAAATACGTGGAAGAACTAGCAACGAGGGCGGAAAGAGCTGCAAGGCAACGAAATATGAAACAACTTTACGATACAACGAAGAAACTAGCAGGGAAATACAGTAAACCAGAGAGGCCGGTCAAAGACAAAGAAGGCAAGCCAATCATTAAAATTCAACAACAGCGAAACAGATGGGTAGAATACTTCGAGGAACTCCTGAATAGGCCGGTTCCATTGAATACACCGGACATCGAAGCAGCATACACAGATCTTCCTATATATATCAATCCAGCACCGCCGGGAGACATCAGAATGGCCATCGGACAAATCAAGAACGGGAAAGCAGCAGGAACAGACAATATACCAGCTGAAGCACTGAAGTCAGACATCGAAGCAACCACAAGCATGCTTCACCTTCTATTCACAAAAATTTGGGAGGAGGAACAAGTGCCGATGGACTGGAAAGAAGGACACCTCGTCAAGATTCCAAAGAAAGGAGACCTGAGCAAGTGTGAAAATTACAGAGGCATCACACTACTGTCAGTACCAGGAAAAGTCTTTAACAGAGTTTTGCTGAACCGGATGAAAGATGCAGTAGACGCTCAACTTCGAGATCATCAAGCTGAATTCCTCAGGGATCTGTCGTGCACAGACCAAATTGCGACAATACGGATCATCGTCGAACAATCAAATGAGTGGAACTCGTCACTATACATCAACTTCATTGATTATGAAAATGCATTCGGCAGTGTAGATAGGAGGATATTATGGAAACTTCTTCAACACTACGGAGTTCCTGAGAAGATTGTCAATATTATCCGGAACTCATACGACGGACTACAGTGTAAAGTAGTGCATGGAGGACAGCTGACAGATGCATTCCAAAGAAGGACCGGAGTCAGACAAGACTGTTTACTCTCCTCCTTCCTTCTTCTTCTGGTGGTCGACTGGATTATGAAGACCTCGACATCTGAGGGAAAACATGAAATACAATGGACAGCTCAGAATCAATTAGATGATTTGGACTTCGCAGATGACCTAGCCCTCCTATCGCGTACACACAAACAGATGCAGATGAAGACAGCCAGTGTAGCAGCAGTCTCTGCATCAGTAGGCCTCAGCATACACAAAGGGAAAACTAAGGTCCTCAAATTCAAAGCGGACAACAGCAATCCAATCACACTTGATGGCGAAACTCTGGAAGATGTAGAGTCCTTCACATACCTGGGAGACATCATCGATGAACAAGGAGGTTCAGATGCAGACGTAAAGGCGAAGGTTGGCAAAGCGAGGGTCGCATTCCTAAAATTGAAGAACATATGGAACTCAAAACAACTTTCAACCAATATGAAAACGAGAATCTTCAATACGAACGTCAAGGCAGTTCTACTGTATGGAGCTGAAACTTGGAGAACTATAACAACCACAATCAAGAAAGTACAAGTATTTATAAATAGCTGTCTTCGCAAGATACTCAACATCCGTTGGCCGGATACCATCAGCAACAGCCTTCTGTGGGAGAGAACAAACCAGCTTCCAACTGAAGAGGAAATTAGGAAAAGACGATGGAAATGGATAGGACATACATTGCGGAAACCGTCAAACTGCATCACGAGGCAAGTCCTAACTTGGAATCCTGAAGGGAAGCGAAAAAGAGGAAGGCCAAAGAACACATTGCGTCGGATAATAGAAGCAGATATGAAAAGGATGAATTACAACTAGACGGAGCTAGAAAGGATTGCCCAGGACAGGGTTGGATGGCGAATGCTTGTGAGCGGCCTATGTTCCTCCACGAGGAGTAACAGGCGTAAGTAAGTAAGTAATAATAATATCAATGATAATTATCTAAGAATTTAATTTGAATCACAACAATACTTACTTCTTGTAAAAGTTGTACAGTATCAGATACTAGGGAGTTACTCTTATCCTTGTTGATTATATGTACACCTGATGTATGTTCATTGAGATCAACCTGTGTAAAAAAAGAAAATTTAAGTATATACATATACGATAATATTTTCAATAGTATATTTATTAGTCAATTGGTCATAGAAAATTAACAAGGATCTGTATTATGAATACATAAAACTGATATAAGTTATTGTTATCTGTAAGTGTAATTCAAAGAGTAAACTATCAAGATGAATAGTAGGCGATGGGTCAACCAACATAAACAGAGAATATGACAATATCTATTTGACAACAATTGTTCAGGCATGAAATCTGTCTATGTAAAATCAAGTATACAACATTATAGCACTTGATTAGTTATATAGGACTGTCAAGTTCAGAAAATCAGTACTGAATTGTTATATCCGAACAAAGAATAAATGAGTGGTAACCACTAGGGATTATTTATGGACAATTATAACATATATATTCTTATTGGATAATTATTAAGTAACTAGATTATATCTACATTCATATTCCTTTTATCATAAGCTTTCATTTGACCAATTGGCTACTGTTATACGATTTATCATCCTCAATTTATTAGTTACAGTCTCTCTCTCTCTCTCACAATGACAGCCACTTTTGGCTTGATCTTGAATAATTGTTATTTTTCATTTTATGGTGTGAGGTGGTCTGGCTTGCTTGTACATAAACCACGTATGTCTGAAATATACAAATCACACAGTGGAGGCTGATATTCGTGTTCTGGACTGAACGAACTGGATTAGGAGAGAAGCTACTATACATACAGAGGACCACTAAAGACTCCGAGTTGACACAAGGTTGTTAGTGCTGGTTGGTGTATCAGTGGTTCAGCACAGGTACAAGGTCATATAAGCCGGTGTTCTGATTGGAGATTCTGTCATGTGATAATTGACAGCGCCATAAGCCATGACATGAATATATATTGCAAAGTGAAAAATATAATTCATTTTATAATTTGCATCAAGGATTGATTTTAGTTAGACAACCATTGAGAACGAAGAAATACTGGACATCTCTTTCATCCTAATATGAGACAATTTGTTAATGTACGTCCATAACCCCAAAATGGATCGAGCAAAGATTTCCGAGACTCGTGTCGAGCTTAATTAATTTGTCCATCAATCAGAATACGACTTATACAAATCTTAGCACTATGCCAAACCAATGACGTTCAACCGATATGAGCAGTCTAGCGTCCTTATTGGTCCTATGTCCTGCTAACCCGTCCACTTAGGTCCAGAACACAATACCAGCTTCTGCAATATGAATCGAATCTTTTATTTCAAACATACTCGGTTTATAATATATCAACCAGACAGGCCACAACGTACCATAAAATAGAAAATAACATTTGTACAATATTTGGCCAATTGTGGCTGTGAGTGTGGGAGGTAGTAGCCAATAAGCCTAAGAACCGTAATTCGTACAATAATAAATTACAGGTCAAAATAAAGCTTATAATAAGGGGGAGATATAAATATACATAATCTAATTATTGAATAATTATACCATAAGAATATATAGATAATATTAGTCCATTAATAGTCCTCGGAAGTTAACCATAATTTATTCTTCACTGGAATATAACAATTGATAGTTAATAACTGCACTTTAATCACATATCCAACTGATTATTGACTTCAAAAATCGTCCATTTTTCAACTGTAAGTTGTATATCAATATAAACTGTAATACAGGTAACAACATGTAATGGCTTACTGTGTTATAGTTTTACTTATTATTGTAAGTAAAACAATTTCAACAATGTTTAACTATTCTAATTTTAGACAAATTGAAGAAAAATCTTATATGAACATTATTTTTGTCATCGTTGAAATCGACAAGTGATATTCGCTAGACCATCATTGGAAATCTAAGGATATTGGATAGATGTTTTGTTCTAGTGTACGACTACTATTCAGAAGTAAATATCCATGATTCTTTTTTTCTCTCAGTTAAACATAATTTTGTTTAGACACATACGCACACAGACAGACTGTTACCTAAACATTGTACTATTATTATTAATGTTAGTAGTACTATTGTATTTTTCTTGTGATAATGATGATTCTATTAACATTATCAAGTAGATATGATAATTGAGATCATGAACCGATCGATGTTAGATCATCTTTGGAAACCCGGAAACACTGGACAGCCGTTTCATCCTATTGTGGAACTCCTCAGCAGTGCGCATCCACGATCCCGCTCGCGAGATTCGAACCCTTGGCCTTCGTTCTCGCGCGAGCGGGATCGTGGATGCGCACTGCTGAGGAGAGTCCACAATCGGACGTGACGGCCATCCAGTGCTTCCAGGTTTTCAGTGGTGGTCTAACATCAATCAGTTCATGATCTCAATCAAAAAATTAATAATCTTCACAACCCCTATATTAGATATGATAATGGTTCATTGACTTAATTCCTAACAATGAATGGTTTATCTTGTCTATACCCTTTTATTCCGAATCTTCACAGTTATTATTAGTGTATCACCACCACCACCAACAACAACAACAAAAAAAAATTAATGGATTGCTTGTAAAAAATTTTACAATGTAAATCAATCAATAAGTTACAGAGGTGTATAAGTGTGTGTGTGTGTTTATGTGTCTATAGATTGCTGCATATAAATTGGCATAGATACATACGAATACATAAAATAATAAAAATAATAATGTGGACTAGAAGTCTATTAGATTTTATTGAAATAATTAAAATGTACACACAGATACAACACACACAAACAAACAGACATTGATACAAACTTATCGTGAAATGTACATCAATTGATAAAACTTTTATCTGTCCAAAAGTAGACCGATTGAAAACAAAAAGAACAAAGAGTAAAAGTATTCGATGGAATGGGAAGGGATTTGTCAAAAGTTGATGACGTCATTTGTTTAAGGTAATTTGTATACATGCTAAATAATATTGTAATTAGGTTGGTTAATGCAAATCAGGGACTGTGTGGTAAAATAGTTCAAGGATGTGATAGATTCGAAATTTGGAATTATCATTAAAGAAGTCTTTGTATCAGATTAGTTTAGATCAACTAATTATGTCTATTGATTGCATGACCTAGTACGGCTGAGAGTTGGGAGAGTCAGCCCTGCCTCACGAAATGCTCTCACATGGCCACGCGTATATAGCCTCTGTCAGGGAAGTCCTACTTATTGCCTTCTCGCGGCATTACTTTTGTTTACGAAATTGAGAGGATGAATAGTGAATGTCCGGCACCGGCTTTAAATGGGTTGGCGGATATGGAGAGTCCACCTAGGGGAGTTGGAAAACGATTATTCCAAAACAATGGTGCATATGGACTACAGTAACCTGAAGGAACAAACGGCCTATGAACCAGTTGTTGGTCACCGGCTACCATGGAACTGCATCTGCTTATGATGCTCCACTTTCATGTGGATCAGACCTTTAAGCCAAAGGCTCCTGGTGTGGCCCCCTAAGGAAACCGCCTGCTTCGGTTTGGGCACTCGGGCAGTATCACAGCCCTCACACATATCGAATGAGATTTGTGTGGTGCATATGTATCTGGTGTCCCCTTGTACCAATATCCAAATGTTCAAATAAATAAATAAATACTAGTAATCGCATGTATTTATGTTTTTATAATCTACTAAGAATCTAATTATACAAACAATCAAGAATAGCACTAAGGCAGTTTGTACACTTATCATTTGTAAGAACAAGAAGTGATTACCATAGAGTTCATATACCAAGTATATTCGGCAATGAAAAATGGTGTCACGAAGACACGACTAATGATAAACACTATTTGTCCCAATTTTTTATGAGTAGATGAATAATACATTCAACTGATGAGTCTTAAATTCTACTGTTAATCAAAATCCCCTTCTATTGTATTTGTTTACTCATTAAGAAGTTTGGTATTTTTGTATGTATATTTGCGTAATATGTTATCGGTCTGGACACCCGGATAATATCACGGCCCACACACAAAATCAAATGACTTGTGTGTATTCAGTGTCCCTATGTATCAATATTTATGTGTTCAAATAAATATCATGTAATCCAGTATGTGTATGAAGTGAATCCTAAAGTACCAACTTAATTCACATTTATATGTTAGCATATGCTCACTAGTGATTGGCTTCAAGAGGTATAACCTCAATACTCCTCACTCGGGTATTCCACAAAACGTAATGAATTCTTCGAAGGCACCCGTGATCTACAGTCTATGTGTGTCTTCTTTCATAGATCGTGTTACACAACCATAGACTATAGGAGAGCGGATTGCCGTGCAGTATACACACTCTCTGTTTGACAAACAAATATCTCGCCTTTGCCACAAATGGTGCAAGCTAGCAAATACCAAGCTTTCGGAATCCGTGAGGATATGTGTATACATATGTATAAAACTTGATATACACATATTTATGTGAGAAAGTTAGAATTGACAAGAAAAGAATGCACACACATATATGTATGGTAACTGTAGACATTGTCCTTGACCTTGCAATTAAATGTATTTCGCTATTGTCTCTTTTTTTTCATGAAGTCTCTTATTTCGTGCATAACTTTTTCAACGAATATTTGACAAAACCACCCACATACATGTTATTAATTGCTAAGCCGAAATTTTGCACAGAGATAAAAATATACACATTGAATGATGTTTGCTAAGTACCGACGATTGATTCATAACGCTCTTGTTAATTCACACACAAACATACAAATAAAACAACTATATGATTGACATGAAAATGATTAGAGAACAAAGAATTAGTTTTAATTACTAATTTTATATGTGAGTTTATTCATCCGGTTCACCAATGTTGAATAAACATGCGGTAACCAGCATTTCAAGCTAATTTCCCGTTTGTTTAAGTTAGCAATGAACTTAATAGCTAAAGTTATCCATATATGCATGCTATAAACACGTCAGTGTAGTGCATTCGAACACTCCAGATGCAATGAAAATTCAGGGGGTGCTTGAAATTAAATGTTATATGAACATCATATTCTTTTGTACAGTAATCGCCAATTCAATGAATGTAAAAA